TTTGATGAGGAATAAGGTATTTGCCTAATCGTAGTATCTTCCAAAAAATTACAGAGGGGAAAGCAGCAACTTTACAGTGGAGAATCCTGGGGGAGCTCACCTAAGCCGTGGTATAGTGTGACTGACTCACAAAATCAGCTCACAAAAGCTGATTCTATGTGTTCCTTCCCAACTTGATGTTCGGTGATGTCATTTTAAAATGGGCCGTGGTTGAAATACCTACACTGAAAATTGCTGAACACTACAAATGAATTATTTCTTTCCCTACCCCTAAGGCTAGTAATGAAATACTTTCTATCACATTGATGATGTAGGCCCACTGGTCAAAGTTAATGACACTGGCATTGGGACACATGGACAGTTTGTGTCTGAAATCACAACACAAATTCCTCAACAACACAGCACAAATTCCTCCCTGTTGCATGTCTCTGTTTGGCTTCAAGAATGGTTTCAGGAAGTAAGCCTGTTATAAATCTTCTCACAAGTTTTTTTTGTTTGTTTTTTCCTTGAGGTGCTGGGCATTGAATCCAGAGCTTTCCACATACTAAGTAAATGATTCACCACTGAGCTACACTCACACCCTCTCCTCACAAGTTTTCTCACACAGATATGCTGCTGTCACAGGAGACAACCCAAAGGGTTATATGTCTAATCCTACCCCTTCGAACATGAGGAAAAAGGCGACAGAGACATGGCAGGTGGGAGGGGTACCTTGGTCAGTGCCACTACCAGATCCTGGTTCTCAGACTCCAGGGATTCATTTCTGTCCCAGGCTTATTGTTGAACTTGAAGATCGTCAGAAATTCTTAGTCCCTCAAACAGACTATAAAATTAAGTATATACTTTTTAAAACCCTATTTTACAAATAATTTTTGCTCTGTGACATGGACATTTTTTAAAAGGCAAGATTTAAAATGATGTGGAATGTGGAATGATAAATATTATTGCACCCACTTTTTAGAAAATATAGCCAGCTAAAACTATAACTGGAAAAAAAGACTATGTAATCATAAACTTAATATATGCTTGAGACCTAGCCAGTACTTATCCATTCCTTTTCGGTCTTTTTTGTCAAGAAAACAGTAGTGTGGCCAGTGGTTGTGTGGATTACAGGTGATGTGGATAACTTAAAGAATGAAAATCAATGTTCCTACGCCAGAACATTTTCTCCTTTTTAAAGTCAGCTTAAATGAGGTAAATTTAAATACAGTAAAAATCACAAACTTTAAGTGTGCCATTACATATATTTTGACAAATGTGTACAGTTGTGGAACCGTCATAACCATGACACAAACATTTTTATCAGGCAAAAACTCCTCCAAGCCCCTCCCCTACCTCTAGGACCTGGCAACACTGATCTTTTCTGTCACTCTAGTGTTTACTTTTCAAGAATGTTATGCAAATGAAGTCATAAAATATGTCTTTGGTGTCTGGCTCCTTTAAGCAGATTGCTTTTGAGGTTCATCTAGGTGTTGTATGTAACAGCAGCTGGTTCCTTTTATTGCTAGTACTCCTAGCACTCTTTTGTAAGGCTGCACCACAATCTGTTTATCCATTTAGCAGGTGATGGGCATTTAGGGTTTTTTCCACTTTTTGTCATTGTGAATAAATCCTTCTGCTCTATTTTAATAAGTATAAAAAAGTCTTTACCACCATTGCTCTTTATTTCAATTTATAAAATAAGCCTATCTACAAGCTTGGTTAAATAAGATCATCAGTGTTGTGAGTGAGACTGAAAGAAAGCCAGGTGGGAGAACTGGATTAGCTTTCCTTTACAAGGTACCCATACCCAGCTAGAATCATTTTTTTATGCTTTGGTAGTTTTTTCCGCCTGTACTTTTTTATGAAGACCATATCTACCTTTTCCTTCCCAGTTTGAACTCCCTGCAAAGACAACAACTGTGTCTTGTGTGTTTGACCCAATGCCTAACAGTTTGTTTCATATAATGGAATCATGATAAATATTTAACAGATTGATATGAATTCTTTAGTCTTTTCTCTTGGATACCTAAGTGGTTTTTATTACTTCTTCCTCTAGAGCAATGATGGCGAACCTTTTAGAGATGAGTGCCCAAATTGCAATCCAAAACCCACTAATTTATCATAGAGTGCCAACACTGCCATTCAACCTGTATATTGAGGTTGTACTTTAGAAAAAACAACTCACATGTTAACATCTTTTGTCTTAAAAGAAAAACAACATGCACGCCATAGGTTTACTACCACTGCTCCATAGTGTTATAAAATAGGTTTCCCTGAGTAAAAATATTTTTGATTCTACCTTCACATTTAAATTATTCACTCTGTAACCTATGAGTGGACTTAAAATGCTTTATAGACTTCCAGGATTTTATTGTGGGCTGTTACTTGTTTTTCAGCTATAAAGTGAGAGCTCAATTTGATGAAGCAGGTTTGAGATTCCCTTTCATTTCTAACATTGTGAGGCTTTATAAAAACCTTACCAAGTCAGAAAGACTCTGTAAGGAAATGGGGCAACAGAGGAGGGAAGAGAAAGGAGAGAGGAAGAAGGAAAAGAACAATATGCCATTTTTTTATGTGATGAAAAATAACAAATATAGTCTCTTAAATAGAGTTAAAATTGGGCAAGGGGTCAAGAAACACAGAAGTTCACAAGTTGAGCTTGGGATGGTGGCTCATGCCTGTAATCCCAGAACTCTGGGAGGCTGAGGGTTGAGCCCAGTCTGAACAACTTGGTGACTTAGTGAGATCCTGTCTCAAAATGAAAAATAAGAAAGGACTGATAAGGCAGCTCAGGGCAGAGGCCCTGGGTACATTTCCCAATAGTACTGAAAAAAAAAAAAAGAAAAAAGAAAGACTTTGATGTGTAACTCAGAATTCAATTGAGAATAACAGTTCTCATTCTAAACATTGATAGTAAGATTGGCAACTTCTTTATGTTGGAGTCCTGGTTTGCAATGGGTCCTGAAAGTCCTGGTTTGCAATGGGTGTTCTCAGCTACGACTGTTTTCTTGGTATATTTATTAATAATGCCCCCTTTTCACTCAAATGCATATTGGTTTTGAACAGTGCATTTTATGGTTGCCCAGTTACTAGGGAACTCAGAGCCCCGGGACTCCCCTGTATCCCCTGCTCTACCAGAGTCTGACCTGGGCATAGTGACTGAGAGACTCCATGGAGCTCTTAGCAAGCTGCCTCCTTCAGCAGGATGGTCTCCAGCTGACAAAGCCATTAACAAGTACTCTTTTCTAACATGTCTGAAGAATGTTTGCCTCCTTCGTATAAGAAGAGCAGATTCTCTTGTTTCACTTAAAGGCTGCCCCCTTTAATGGTAAGGGTATAAGAACTTTCAGCCATTCAACATTCGGTGCCCACTTTCTGCGTGCCAAGTGCTGACCTGAGCTCAGGGTAGAAAGAGACAAAGGTGACAAAAGGAAGCAGGCATGTGAACCAAGAACTAAGCAGGATCAAGGGTGTCTTATGGGGTATATATAACATATATTGAGGTCATGGAGGGAAGAATAGTTAATTCAGAAGATGAGGGCCAGAGAAGGGAAGAGAGTGGAACTAGTTCCCTGAAGAAATAGTATCCATCATGCAGGGGATTGGATGATGGGCAGGGGGCATTCCAGGAGAGGAGGAAACATGTGCAATGATCTATAGCCAGAAATGAGTGGGGTGGTGGGGGAGGCAAAAACTAGCCTCGTCTGACTCTCCATTTGTTGCAATATACTAGTTTGGAACTAAGTGTGAGACGAGACCTTGGCCCACATCCAGGGGGTGTTGTTGTTAGAACAACCAGAAGGGACCTTATTTCACATTTAGTGTGGACCCCTGATGATTCCATTTGAGTGAGGTGTGGGTGTATTTTCATTCTAGAGTTTTACACTACAACGTTACCACATGCATTGACCAAATTCAATACAAGCTTTCCTTATGTTGCTTTATAATTAGAAACCAGTGAATTGAAGTTCCACAGCGGTACATAGACTGGTAGTGATAGCTTTATGGAATTGTTTATTTTTAGTTTGGCAAAGGCTAGGCAGTAAATATCTCAATTAGTAAACTAAAGCAGCATGGTTGAGAAATGCCCACAAGGAGATCAGGAGTTAGAAAAAACTTAAGTCATATAATTGAAGGAAACCCTCATAGCACTTACTTCAGATCCTGTGTGTGTGTGTGTGTGTGTGTGTGTCTGTGTGTGTCTGTGTGTGCATGGGTGGCACAGATGCAATGTCAGTACCCATGGTACTGCCAGCAAGGAAGTCTTTTGTACGGCTCAGGTTCTGATTGCTTGGGAAGTGCTCTCTTTAGGAGTCACTGGGATTGGATAATGGCCTAATGAATGGGTCAACATCCTATTGCAGTAGGATGGGATGTCATCTTTGACTATAGAAGCTTTTCAGCATGACCCAAGAAATATTTTCTTATGAAGTGCTAAGGGAAGTTATACATTTTCATTCTTCTGTTCACATTATGTGTGAAAGTATTTAATGAAAATATGCATGTGACCCTGCAGAATTTACTGGCCTCTAGAGAGTCTCCTACACTACATGTGAGATTCCATTTTAAATTTCAGAGGAAATCCATAAGTGACCTACAAAGCCTAAACTTTAAGAATGTAAGTTTTACTTAAACTAGGAATTAAGTCATGTTCTTTGTAGAATTCCAAGATCTTATTGACCATTTAGAAGATGAAAGATTAATTGGTAGCACAAAACAGAAAGAAATGTTACAGAAAAAAGGGTATGTGTGCTTTAAAGTTACAAAATATCACTGTTCACCAGTCCTGAATTTTTAATTTTTACTTCATTTGGACTCATGGCATGTATTTAAAAATGTAAGAAAAGTCCTTGGGATTTTTCCTCTCCTGGGGTTGGAGGCTGGATCCATGCAAAGATTGTTCTCTTCTTATGCTTAACAATTTAGTACCCATCAGCTCTCTGTGATCCGTAGGGAAAATGATGGAGGTTTGTGCATCTGCAGATTACATTTCTGTATATCTCCTCTCTGTTTCGCAGACTGGAAAAAGATAGCATTCAGCAGAGCTTTAGCAATGAAGCAAAGGCCCAAGCCCTTCAGGCCCAGCAAAGAGAGCAGGAGCTGACACAGAAGATAGAGCAAATGGAGGCCCAGCATGACAAAACTGGTAGGTGGTAGGGAAAGATTAGAGCCTGGGCACTCGCTCACAAGCCGGGCCCACGCCTTACTGTGAAATGACATCAGGAACACCTGTAACCTTTGGCTGGCCGAAGGGAGCAGATGCTAACTACACCGGAGATTCCGAATTACATATTAGTTAGCGTTTAAAAGAGAAAATGGAAAGTATTGCCCACTGTCTGTTGATTTCAGAGTGCTGCTCTCACATCTGTTGCACCATCTGGATTATGAGTTTATTTACCTGTGTTCAAGAAACGTAAAGCTGAGAGAGACCACAACAAAGTAGAAAAACAAAGGGCTTGTTTTTGGCTGGGTTTTCAGGCACACATGTTATATAAAGAAAATAGCATCAGAAGCTCTGCGGGAAATGCTCTGAGCTTACAGTTAGAGTCTCCTGAATAGCATTGAACAGTTCCCACAGTACACACATTATAGCTACTCTAAAAGCCTAATGAGTTTGCTTCAGCATCCAAACTGGAGAAAAGCTTTAGCCATTAATCGGTTCTTAATTCACTGTCGCAGCTGGATGTAATTCAGTGGCTCCAAATTGATATGTTCCTTTATTTAATCTTTGCAGCTTCGAACATTTTTAGCATTTGTATGATTTCCCCACCTCCCCCAATCCAATCTAGAGTGATGTTTAATCCTTTGCATTCTTCAAGTTCTCACAACTGCTGTTAAAATTCACTAATACAAGGCATTGACCACAGCTGGCAGCTTGGCTAAAAATTGCCATCTTTCATCACATTGGCAACTATTCTGCAGACAGAGCTGGCCAGTAACTCTTTACCTTTAATTTGAAAGTAAAATGCACTTTGAAAATAGGCAGTTTGATTTGTTCAGTCAGAGCATTATGTAGTTCCTTTCACTTTTGAGTTGTGTGTTCACAGACAGTGTTAGTCAAAACAAGACAGTGTCAGTCATTATAATTCCACACCACATACTTCACACTGATTGTACTATTAAAACAAGTTTAATTGATCCTGTCTCCTCCAGAAAAATGTTGCTTAATTTTAGTGCCTCGATTTATTTTGCTTTGTATGCTATATGCTTTTTGACAATCAGGTAAAATTGAAAAGGAATAAAGGGCCTATTAAGCCTTATATTTAGAGAGGTAATAGTCACAGTATTTAATGTATATTGTATTTGATGACACAGTAAAAAATTATTTCTTATTTCATAGGTGAAAAATCACTAACATGAAATATATTAAATAATCTATTTACTTATAAAGAAGCAAATTCCATGACTCACAGTTCCCTCTTGCACTTTCAGTAGAGATTTTCTTCTCACGGTATTTGGCCAGAAGAAATGAAAATTTACCAGATTCAGTAGATGATTTTACACTAAAAACGAAGAGAAATACAGGATAAATTATTGTTTGCCCCCATGCTAGCAAGAGCCTCGTGATCAAGAATCTTGGGCAGAATCTGAGCATTACATAAGAGCTTTTAACTGTAAAATCCACCTTATAAACACTTTCGTTTATTTTGCATCTGTGCGTGCGTGTGCGCATGCACACAAACACACACACACACACCCCACCATCTTCAATTTCTTTGACCAGATCTCCACTGAAGCACACACTATTGACAATAAGTTCAAAATTCTAAGAAAAATCATATATTCCACCTTCATAATTAGAGAAGCAGGGGAGGTGCTGGTAAACACTGCTCAAATGTGAAACATAAAGCATGAATTACAGTGTAAAAGAGAATTCCTCGATGATTTCAGTTTTGAATTATCTGGTTGTAAGATTTTTTGACACTGTTTATGGTAAAATTGTCAAAATAAAAATATAATATCTTACATATTACAAAGATATAAGCATCTATGACTCCACTTGAGGTATTTGACAGTTTATGAACATGCTAAACTAAAATGTTGCACCAAGCTGATATGATCAAAAATGTTGCTGCTGTATAATTTTATTATAAAAATAAATGTCTCACAAGATTCTGTGTCTTACCAGAGCCTTTAAATTGGGATACTGAAAGTAATCTAGTGGCTTCTAGGAAATATGTAGTGATCTAAAGCACTTTACTACTTTTTTACGTGTGGAACCATTGCAGAGCTACAGCAATAAACATCTGATGTTGGTGGGGCTATTGTTATTCCTAGAAAATGAACAGTATTCATTGATGACCTCCCAGAATACATTTTTGATAAAGTTAAAGGAAGAGTGCTGTTCATTAGCCAAGAAACTGGAGCAGATCTCTCAAAAAAGCAGGTAGGTAAAGTTATGCAATACTTTCAGAGCACTTTTTGGTTTTCCTTAAAAAACAGCATTCCCAGTGTTATAAACTAATGTTAAAATTAGTTATCTATTGATATGTTTCCTGTGAAAATATTTTCTCTGTATGGATATTTTCTTTATTGTCTGTACAAACACTTTGATATTTTTCATAGTTATGTACTCATACTATTATTTGACTGCTTTAATGTTTAGGATCAAAAATTATGACATTTCAGAAAACAAAGGTTAAGGTGGCAGTTAGTCTATAAAGAACACAGTAAGTCAAACAGTTTTAAAATCTTTGTTTGGTATAGTTAACACTATAGATTTTAATCCATTATCACAGTCCTCTCTGAACACACAAAAGTTATCTTCAGACCAAATAATTAGGGAAATTAAAGAGATATCGGTGCTTGATACACATTAGCTAATTCTCACAACAGCTTGAGACAGGAATTCTTATCTTCTTTTACTGATAAGGAAACCAAAATAGCTGGTCTAAATAACTGGTGAATCAGAGAACTAAGGTTCTCACCTAAGCATTTCTGGTTCTAATGTCAACAGTCTTTACAATAACTACAATATTTTATATCTACTGTTACGAAAAATTCAGGCTGGCCAGACATGGTGGCATACACCTGTGATCTCAGCTACTCAGGCGGCTGACATAGGAGGACTACTTAGGTCTAGGAGTTTGAGCCCAGCCTGAGCAACACAGGGAGATTTTTTCTCTTAAAAAGAAAAGAAGAGAGACAGGATGGGGGAGAAAAAAGAAAAAGAAAGACAAGGAGAAGGGAAAAGGAGGAGAAAGAAAAGGAAGAGGAAGAGGGAGAAGGAGGAGGAGGAGGATAAAGGGTGGGAAGGAAGGAACGAGGGAAAGAAAGAATAGAGAATTCAGGCCACAGTGGCAATGATGAGAACTGTAAGGAAGGAAAAAATTAACCTTTAAATTTGTTTGAAGCTGGCTTACTTGGCATATAATAACTAACCTGAGAACCAAGGTTAACCTGTACTATGTGCCGCTGGGCCCTCTTTTCCTCCTATAGATCTAACCTCCTCTAGATCCTCCTCTAGAACTTATTCTATACAGGTCTAGTGAAAATGCCCCACAACATCAGCATCTCTCCAGCTTTTCTTGCTTATGATTCCTCTAGCTCCTGACCACTACTTTACAAGTTGAATGTTGTGTTCCTTTATATCTGACACATGACATCAATACATATTTATTGAGTGATGAATGAATGAATGAATGAATGAAACAAACTGACTTCTGTCGTCTGTCAGCCTGTTCCCTAATTGTGACAGGCAATGTGTAGGAACAAACATTTTGCAATTCAAAAAGAATTAGGTTTGAATCTTGGTTTGCCACTTCACTATGTAACCTGGGGTACATTGCCTGATCTCCCCAAACCTCAGTTTCTCCATCTGTAAAAATGTTTTTAAAACCATGTTGCAGGATTGTTATGGGAATGAGAACTGTATATGTAGAAAAACAGACATACCTCCATGCCTGCATCTACCAGTGTCCCTGGGTATCTGTGGGCTGTTGGCCTCAGAACCCTCATGGATTCCAAAGTATGCAGATGCTCAACTCTTATTTCAAATGGATGCAGAATACACAAATACAAAAGTCCATTGTGTGAAGCACCTGGAACAGCGCTCGACCTGTAGTAACACACGAGCTGCCATTGCTGTCACTGGGGATGTGTCTTTAAGGGTTTTGACTGATCATTTGGCAAACACTTCACCAGACTCCTACTGCCTTTTCCAGGGAAGGTCTGAGTGCCATTTTCCTGATAGACATAAAGTCTATATTACAGTGAAAGCCTTTTGAAGGGCAAAGCAGCATCAGGAAAAGGTGGATCTGGTTACATTGCAGGTCATGCTCTGGCACTTTGCTTGAGAAATCTGATGAATTAAAATGAGCACCTGTTGTAACTACAGGTTGATTCAAAACTAAGGCCTGGGGAGTAGTAAACACTTGATTGAATACTATTTTAAAGTCTTTTAAGATCCCCTAAAGTTTACAAAAGTACACTTGTGTGCCTCACAAGAGAGAAGTAGGTAGGATAAACTGTGATTTTAGGGTTGTTTGCTTTTAATCTATCAATTTGTTTCTCCCTGGCTTCCTAATATAACATTTTTCAGCAACTCATTTATGCCAAATTTATCATTCCACTTTGATGTTACTATTTGCTTTGAAACCACCTATAAAACTTGAAGGGCTTAGAGTGTTTCTTTTTCAATAAAAATTATAACAGCAGTAAGCCCTGCAGAAGCCCTCCCAGAGTGTGCTTCTACATTCCCTGTACCAAACTTTTAGGATAAATAACTTTCCTTTTGCTTTGAACTGTGGAAAATGTTCTAAAGTTTGGTCATTGTGGCAACTCAGTCTCCAAAATAATTACCTAATCTGTATGGTAACCATGGTCCAGATTTTCCTCAGAGTACCACAGTACAATTTTCCCTGAAAGCAGGTGTATTTGTTTTACATTGATCAATAATTTAAAACATGTATTTTTTTTCTTTCCTTTCCTTAGTAGTAACATTTCTCTAAGACTTTTGTGTTATTCAAAATGCCACACTAACCAAATGGACTCCTACTATTTAAAATCAGCTTTTTTATGCACAGATCTAGTCACTTGACTAGAGCCCATGCAGAATCACTAGGGAAGCTGACAGCCTGGGCTCGGCTCACCATGCCCAGATCCTCATCCTCTCTGCCCACCCTCCTGCTAGGCTGCTCTCTGAAAACGTTTTGAAGTGGTACCTCTGTGTGTGTGTCTGTTGTACGTGTTTTCTCCCCAAGTAGACCGTAGTCGCATTGTGACAGTGAGTATCGCTTCTGTTCTCTGGAAGCCTCCATAGCGATTAGCACCGTTCTCACTGCCACTGTGCATTCCATGCTGTGCATGGAGTGGTGTCTGCAACCCCAGGCCTTGTGAATGGCATGTCCCATTTTAAAACTCAAAGTGAAATGCCGATTCTGTGCATTTTTATAGCTTGTTTTTGACCATCAGGCAAGAGAATTAATTCCATTTTGCTTTTAATTGGCACCAGGCAGACATTCTGGCTGATTTAAGTTGAAGCACAGATAAACTTCAGCTCACCCTTCCGTCTGTGTTCCCCAGTACTCTGAGAGCTTATTGTGGTTAGGAGGCTGGTTTTGAGGGAGGTAAATAGAGATATTTAAATATCTTCGGTACAACTATGATTTTTCTCTATGAAAGTAAAGGAAATGTCCCCTCTCCCCAGGCACTTAGATGAATCAGCAGTAAAATAGCAGTGCGATTTGCAGTGTGATCTAAAACCTGGCCTGGGGAGAGCTCAAAAGGTTGGGCGCTGGCTGAGAGTGAGTCCCTGCCAGCATCGGAGTGGAGATCCTATGTGCTGGAGATCAAGTATGTGCGAAGTCTTAGCCTTTCTCCACCTGCGCACTGAAAGAGCAGGATAGAGCACAGAACCGGGTCTGCGTGGTTTTGCTTCTCTTCTTTCTTTTCCGTCATTGTCACTTTCTGGGTTGCTAGGCTTGTGGATTGATGTCTAACACTGCCCATTGTGTATTTGTGATTTGCGTTTTGTAATTAAGAGGAACAATGGGAGTCCATGGGGTCTCGTTATATATAATGGTTGGTTTAATTTGTTTCACTTCTATCTTGTTAATTGTAAATTGATCATTAAGATTTGAATTCTAATCTGACACCAGAGTTGTGAGTATTCAAGCTAGAGCAATGATCCTGGTTTTAATCACTGATGATGAGAAACAAATTTTATAATTTTGGTACATATTGCAGTTCATATATTTTAACACTGTATTTTATGGTGTTATAAATATTGTTAAATGACTTTTAGTGTAGTTTTACTGTGTGGACTATAATGTATAAATTATATTACTGTTTTGGCAACAGTAGGTATCCAACTGTGTGAGTTTAATTGAAGTAAAGAATACACACCCGGTTGAACTGTATTTTTTCCCCTGCATGTTTAGATGATATTAGTTTGGGATACTACAAAAATTATGTTCTGTAAAAGGAGGATTATATTGGCCTTCTGCTAATTGTTACCAAAAGTCAAAACAGAATCTAAAAGAATTAAAAATTAAGGTGTCATATTTTTCCTTTAAAAGCAATTATTGTAATCTGAATTATAGTAGTAAAGCATCTTCTATTTCATGCAAATGCAATTGCACAATGTAACGGGTATATAAAAATGCAAGGAAAAATCCATCCTTCTGTAAAGCCAGATAATACCTAAATTTTCTATGAAAATGGATTAGAGTCAATTATCCTTTTATATGAGACTAGGACAGTCACGCCACAAATATATCTCAAAATTAACATAGAAACTTGTAAGTTTATTTTTTTTTGAACTTTGCAAATCAGTTGTTCCGTAACTATATCTTGAGCTCTACACAGGTAAAGGACAAAATGGAAGTTAGTAGGAAAATTACCACTAAAAATAAAGAAAACTATGCAAAGCAGAAAAAGATTGTTACAGTAACACTTGATAGCAATGTGCACTTTACAAACAGCATTTATATTTTTTTGATTATCTAAGACATCTTCAAGGTTGAGAATTTGGAAAATACAAAAAAGAATTAAGGAAAAAATTCCTGTGGCATTACCATCCAGAGATGACTATTGGTACCTTTTAACATATTTCCTTTGAGTCATCTTCCATATGTATGTAAATGTATTATGTGCACAGACATTTATGTGATGATTGAGGCTATGATAGAGTTTTGCATCTGCTTTTTACTTAATATCTCATTAATGAACATTTTTCTACATCAGTAAACACTCTGGAAATAAAATTTAATTGAATCATCTGTATGCATAATAATTCATTAGACATTTAAGATGTTTCCAATTTTTAAGTTTTATGAACACTATAACTATCGCTGTACAGAAATCTGAATTTTTGTTAATTCCCTTAGTCATCTAAAAAAGAATTGCTGGTCCAAAGATTATGAATCCTTATAAGGGTATTACTGT